TCCGCGACGGTTTGGGGTTGTTGCGGGGTGTCCTTAGTTGGCTGGTAGTTGGGGGTAGTTGGTTGGTCGTGGTTTGGTTCTTCTTTCGGCTCGGCGGCAGCGATTTTTTGAATTAATTCATCCCGCTTCTGGTTAATATCGTCGTGAGTGGTTTGTTGGCGAATTTCCGACTCTCAATTTTGGCCTAATACTTCCGTTTCCAGCAGGGAAGAACTAAAATTGGCGGCTTGGAACCGCTCGTGGACGGCTTGGATGGCGGCTTCTATTTCAGTGTGGAGAGAAGTGGGAGTTCGTGGTGGAGTCATAGGAGCATGGCGGTCTCTTACTTGATTAATGGCAGTGGTAATATTAGTTTTTCGTTCATTTAAATCATTATTATCCACCGCGTTATTGATATAATCTTGTCAATTGCCAGTTCCGAACGGCGGAGTTAAGTTGCTGGTATTTTGTAATTCGGTAATTAATTCGCTATCGGAGACCACATATCAACTGTTAGTTAGAAGGTTTTTCAGGTAATCAATAACCGCTGTTTTAGCAGTGGCTTCAGTCGGTCAATTTTTCAATCTTCGTTGAGCCGCTCGGGCGTTGGTTAAGCCGTCCAGCGTTTTTAAGTCGTAGTCTTGTCCGTCAATGTTCGCAATTCCCAAGTTATTAATTTTACCAGCGTCAATTCTTTCGGGGTCGGGGAGACTAGGCTGAGAACCATAAGCAGCCGCGGCTTGCTGACCGGTTAAGCCTTTTCCTTGATAAGAGGCAGTTAAAGCAGGGTTAAAGTTAACTATCGGAGCCAAATTGTCATAAAAATCTTTCAAAATAAGTTGTGGGTCAAAATTAGGATTAGCACTTACCATTCCTGGATTAGGGTCATCAGCCGCGTTTATATCTCCGCAGTCTCAACCATTATCGTAAATAGTTTTGGCGATAGCAGACTCTAAACTTTTTTCTTTTAACCATTTAGTTGCTTTGGCTCTTCGTAAGTGAGGAGCAGTAATATTTTTAATAATTCGTCCTGGGTCAGAACCAGCAATAGTGCTATTAGCGGCTAAGAATTTGTCTTGGTATATCCGAATGTAGCGTTGATAAACATGTTTGGCAATATCTTTTAAATTATCATTAACCGCGGTTCAGGCTTTGCCGTGGTTGCTATCAGTAGCGGCGGCTTGGTAAGAAAAAATTACTTTTCAGTCCGCTCAGTCAAAATCAGTAATGGCGTTTTCCACGGCGTTATAATTATCTCAACCATTAGTTAATGCCAGAGGCGTAGTTGGGGCTATGCCACCATTGTTAGCGGCTTTATTTCTAATACTCCTTAACTGCTCGATTAATTGGTTGGCTTGGTAGATAGATGGACGGTTATCGAGAGTATTATCATCAGAAATTACATCTCGCTCCTCTTTTACCAATCCTACATTTCGTTTCTCACCAGTATTAGGGCTAAATTCAATAATGTCAGTTAAAACGGCTACAAATTCAATGGTTCGGCTGGGGTCATAGCGGTAAAAATTGGGGTTGGTTCCGGCTCGGTTAATTCCCTGTTCGTCAACAATGACACTGGCTCGCTGGTCGTCTAGTATAGTTGTTCCGCTTCGACGGGCGTTAATGTCGCGAATTCCTAAATTATTGCGAGCCGTTCAGTTGTTAGCAAAACCAGCGGCGGTTTCCGTTGGTAAATAACCTTTTTGGCGTCAGGCTTCGACCTCGGCTTTTAAGTTTGCTTCCACGTTATAAGGGGCTTTGGTAATCCGAAGACATGTTCCTAATTTGGCTAATTCGGTTTGAAATTCCGCTCAGTAAGCGTCAGAGTTAGTCAGTATTCACGGAGTAGTAAATATGTTAATTGTATGGTTTCCTGCCTCGTCCTGGGCGAGACCGCTATCATTAATACGATTATGACAACCTTTTAATTGTGGTCGTTGGTGAGGTCCAGTAGTAATTGCCTCATCATCAAGCATGGTTCAGCCGTTTTCATAACTATGACGAGATTGGACGGGGTCGAGACCTTTTTTCTGTCAAGCATTAATTTCGTTAATTCCAGCAGGTTTGTCACTGGGTCGAGCCAAATGAGTATCACTTAAACGACTATTTTCCATAGGGACAGCACGGAAAAAATTACAATGGTATAACGCTTGTTCGACCTCGGCTTTTAATTTTCCTAAACTTCATTGGTTTCAACTACTTTTTTCGTTCAAATTCTTAGCCGATTGTAAAGATAATTTTCAGTTAAGGCTCTGGTTTTCAGCTAATCATTGGTAAACTTCATTTAAATTATCGCTAGTAGGAGCGTCATGGGGAGCGAGTTTCGTTTCTATTTCCTGGATAGCGTTAGCAATGGCGGTCAACAAATTCCGCCGCTTGTCAATTTCTTTTTTTACTTCCTCCTTAAAATTAGTAAAACCTAAACTGTCATCAATCTTAGTTTCCAAAGTGTTTCGGTATTCGCGGTAAGCATTTTTGTAATCATCACCTCGACAATCAGGTAAATCAACGGCGTTTATGGCTGGCTCAATCGCTAAATAATTAGCAATTTCGGCAATGGCGGCTTGTCTTAAACTTTCCAAATTATTCAAATTATTCAAATTATTCAAATTATTCAAATTATTCAAATTATTCAAAATTTCTTGTCCTCAACCATGGGGAGAAAGTTCGTGGAGTTTGTTATCCTTTTCAAATTCTTGTCAGACTTTCTGCTTAACTCCAGCAGTAGCCGTCCGGTAAAAATTTAATTCGGCAATGACAGCCGCCGCATCAGTTTTCTGTTGGTGCCAATTGTTCTCAATTTCCCGTCCTTTTTTGGCTATTGTAAACAAATTTAAGTGATGGTGTCAATAGTCTTTTTCGGAGTTGGTTAAAAATTTATACTCGGCAATTTCCTCCTTACTTATTTCTTTTTTTTGGATTTGATTTGTGAAAATTATTTTGTTAATAACCGAAAATACTGATTCGGTTTTTGCTCGATAATGAGTGTAAGCAAATCATTTATCTCGGGTAAGGTTGTCAGCGTTGCTGTCGGGTTCTAGGCGGTAGTTTCCTAAATCAGAAAATAATTGTTCGGTCTTAATTTTACCTCATGTGTTAGAAGTGATAAATTCCTTACTCTCTTTAACTAATTGTTTTAACTCGGCATATCTTCGGATTTGATTTTCAGTTAAATTTGTTTCCGTTAAGTCAATTTCCCCCTCGGCCGTGCCAAAAGTTAATTCGTTGGCTGACTTGTCGCCGACTTGGGCGAGAATTGCTTCAATAGCGTTTCCCTGTCCTTGCAATCTGGCTAAAAAGTTTTGGGTGGTTTGACTGACCTGTCAGGCTTTTTGTCGCCCGATTGCTGCGGGGTCGGCATTGTCGTCTCTTAACGTGGTTATATTTCCTCACTCGACGAAGGGTTGTAAAATGTTAATTGCGGCCGCAGTGTCGCCGCTTGCAAATAAATTATGAGCCTGCTTAGTGGCTAGGGCTAAATCACGAAAATAACGAGCAAATAAGGTTATTTTTTCTAGTTCTAATTCATATTGGGCGATAATTTCTTGGCGGTTCCAATTATCTCAATTGTTCGCAAGATTAGAATCTTTAATTGATTGTTCGATAGTTGTAATTAATTCTCGGTGCTGGTAGTTTTTATTAATATAATAATCGGCGATTTGGTGGGAAGTTTGAGAAATATCTTTTTTGGTTGCTATTAATCGGGCTAACGCTTTGATTTGGTCTAAATAATGATTTAATTTTTTATTTATTGCTTGCCGTTTCTCTTGGGTTTCTGGGGTATCTTGGTGAATATCGTCGGTAAATTCGGTGATTAATAATCTATTGTTTTCAGGTGCGGGAGCAATAAATTCACCAAAAAATAAATCATCTTCTCCTATTCCTGTTTCTTGGGCTACTTTATTAAACTCGTCGGTATCGGTTGAATCAAAAAAAATCATTATTAATTTATCTTGCTCCAAACTATTTTTTGATGAAAAGATTTTTTGCTCTAATAAAGCATTTAATTCTGGGTTGAATTTTTTTTCTTTGAGTTCTGCCTTCACTACTTCATTCGCTAAAAGAGTTTCAACTTGGGTCTTAACATCTCGGTAAGGAAGATTTTCCAAATTAGCCAGCACTTCAACTCGGAAAGTGGCGAATAAATTTCAGATAGCAGGGTTAATAGTTTTGCCTTCGAACTGAGATAATTCTTTCTCGTTATATTCTATTCAACCTTTTATTTGTTTTTCATTATATTCATCAATTCTACCCTTATGTTCTTCGATTTCCCTTTTTAATTCGGCGATTTTTTCCGCTAGTCCAGCATCGTTGAATAATGCTTTATTTTCGCTATATGAATAATTAAGGCATTCATTTAACATTTTCCGTAGCAAATTAATAAGCAATTCTTTTTTTTCGTCCTCGTAATAAGGAGAATTGTCGATATGTCAAATAGTGTTTACTTCCCTGCGACCAGAATAATTAAATTCTCAGATTTTTTCCGGCAGTTTAGCAACAAAATTATAGTCGTTGCTTTCGCTGTCTTCGGGTAGAGTAATTAATGAAGGTAAGTGTTCGTTAATTTGGAGGATAGTCAACGCTTCCTTAGTGGTTTGGTATTCTTCACTATTCTCATCTTCCTCAATCGTGAGAAATGTTTTTATCCAGGCATTTCTGTCAGTAATTTTTATTTCGGTTTCACTCAGTAGTGGTTTTAATTGGCGGTCAATAACCCGAATTAATTCTCAGTAAACTTCCTCCGAAGCGTTTTGGTAGGTTGGGTTATTTGCTTTCAGGTGGTTAGTCCGAATGGTTTGAAAAATTTCGGGGGCGGGTTGGTCGGGTGAGGGGTCAGCCAATAATTCAGCGATAATAGCCTGCAGAATATTTTTTCGTAGTTCCTCCTCAGCCACGGCGTTTTTTCAATCGTTTTCGGTTGGTAAGTTCAATATATCGTTTATTCAGTTATCGTTCAAAAAACCGTCCGATTGGTAATTTTTGGTAATGGTTTTATCTTCCTCTTGCCAAGAAAAGGTTTGGTTAGCAGTATCATTCCAAGGTAGTCGGGTGAAAAGTTTTTTGATGAATTCCACGCTTTCGGCTGTGGCGGCACTTGACTCCGAAGTAGCGTTTGGCTCTGATGTTTCGTCAGATATTATATTGTTGCTAGACCGATGACTTTTTCAGTTGCGGGAAGTGCTGCTTTGGCTAATTGGTTTGGTTTTGGTGATTCGGTAATGATTTTCCAGGGCAGTTTGGGCTTCGGTAAAATGTCGTGCGATAGTTCTTTGCTCTTCCTCGGCTAAATTGGCTAATCTTTGTAATCCTCCTAATCTTTCTTCACTTAAAGAAGCGATATCCGTTGTAATAATCGTCACTTTGTTTGTTATTAAACTCGAAATTAAATGTTTACCTTCTTCTGTTAATCAGTCATTATTCTTAACTAAATCAAATAATTGGTTAAGGTTGCCAACATTTAGCGATTGGGGAAATTCGCCTTCCGTCATTGCTTTTATGTCTCGAAAAAAACTGTTTACTTGCTCTTTTAAATTATTTAATTTGTCTCGTTCGGTTTCAGAACTTTCTTCCTCTTCCTCTTCATCATCGTCATTGTATTCGTCGTAATCTCTGAAATCAATAATATCGTCATCATCGTCGATATCGGTCGAGGAAATTAACGGACTAGTGTTGACTGGGATAATTGTGGGACGACTAGGTAAAATAGCTTCTATTTCTTGTTCCTCACTAACCTCTGGGGCGTTATTCTCAGGGTTTTCAGTTGGTTCGTGGTGGTTGTTAATAGAAGAACCCTCTTTGTTTTCGGAACTAATTTCGGCGGAGAAAACGGCTTCTACCGGAGCGGCACCTCAAAAGGCTTGGAACGCGAGAAAAATTTCTTCACTAGGGAACTGGAAAAACTGATTATCGTCCGGCCCGACCCAATTATTTTGATAAATATCACTAACCTTAATTAAATGGCTTAAATTATCATAGATATTACCACCTTGTCCTCATTCTGTCCAAGCCAAAGTATCGCCCTCCTGTATCTCGGTTAATCTTTTTTTTATGATGCCATCACCTAATTTTTGGTCGACTTCACAATTGTCATTAATTAATAGCCGAAATTGGTCGAGAATTTTCTTTTTGCTAACTTTTTTTTCGTTATTAAGAAGCCCGCTTTGGCTCAAACTATGGCTTAGTTCCCTAGGATTAGTTGCGAATTTAATCTTAACATTTTTTCAATCAGTCGACTTAATATTGGCTAATTGTGGTAAAGTTATTTCTCAACTTGAATCAAAAGTGCCTTGAATAATTCCGTTGTGACTCTCATCCTTAACAAATTCACTATCAGTAGTAAGTTGATAAAGGTAATTTTCTTTTAATCGCTCCTCAAAACTACTATCAAAAAAAGTTGTGTAGAAAGATAAATTTTTGGTTTGGTTCTCCTTGCCATTAATGCTAATTACCCGAAAGTTTTCAGTAGGCATTTCGTCAGTTAAACTTTGCTTTTGGTATTGGAGCAAGAAGGTTTTGGGGGATTTTGCTCGCTTAAGCAATTTCTCTAAACTGGCGTCTTTAAGAACTCTTATTTCCCGTTTCTGGCCGACAATATCGTCAAAAGTTCGACCCGCCCAATCGGTAGGGATTTCGTCATTAATTCTATCATCCTTTTGGTGTAAATCCCATAACGGACTACGGGAAGAAACATCAATTCGTAAATTAGAAGTATCTTCACTGGTAAAATGGTCGACCAAGCATTTTTTATTAATAGCAATTCAATGGTGCTGTTCGTCTGGTCGCAAAAAGTTAAAGATTTGGTAATCACGAGGGCGAGCGGCTCCCCAGTAATTATATTGTCCGCCCCGACCACCCAGCAAAGTGATAAATCGGATTTTTTCTTTACCAGCCGCCGCAAAAGTTTTTCCTTCAACCTCTTCAACGGCCGCGTTCAGTAAGTTAAATAATTTTTCTTGGCAAATATAATATTCTTCTGGGGAAATAGTTAATTTTTGTCGTTCTAAATATTTTACTTTTAAGGCTGGACTGGTCTTAACTGAATTTCAAGCAGTTTTCTCTTCGCTGTCTTCATTTTTACCAGCGACTAATTCAAAAATCCGAAATTTATTAATGGTTCCACTAAGGTTTTGACTATCAGTGTCGTCCCATTCTTTATCTATTTCACTATTATCTAAATAAGCCTGATAATTAAGAAGTTGTTCTAAACAACTTTTAGCACTCAAATAATTTACTTCTCCTGTTTCTGTGTCCGTTCAATGAGTTAAAGACTTCAATTTTTTATTGTAGGCATCTATTCCTCACTTATCCTCATTATTATCATCAACAATTTTTGGTAAATCTTCTTCTTTTCCAAAAATTTCTAATTGTTTTTTATTGCTAACCGACTCAATAATGGCAAGAGTAATTTTTTTCATTAGTTTATTGTCAAATTCCTCAAAATTATTATTACTATACTTATATTTATCATTACCCTCCTCATCTTTCTCTTTCGTCTGAGCGGTCTTTATAATTTCCTCGGTGCTTAGTCAATGACTATAAATTCTAATTGCTTCTCTAACTACTTTTTCATTTATCTTACCTTCTTTATTAAAATCAACATCCGAAAAACCTCGGAATTTTTCAACAGCACTTTCTAAAGTTTTTTCCTGGTCTTCGGATAACGATTTTCTAGCTTCTATTTCATTATCAGTTTTACTATTAACTTCATCGTCTAAATTTACCTCTTGGTGATGGAGAAGTATTTCACCAAAAACTTTTTTAGTGAAATCGGAATAATTTCTTGCTTGGTCTATTCTTTGTAAATCCAGTTCAATTTTTTTCCGATATAATTTTTGGAGCCGAGTAACATATGGATTAGTGGGTGCTGAGTTGTTTTGAATAGTTACATGGTAATATTCCCCGACTTGGGCTTGTCCTTGGTTAATTAATCGGGTGCTGTTAACCGCGACTTTATTGCTTAAATCGGGTGCAGCGTTTTCCAGTTTTTTGGCTCATTTTTCGGCGGCTTCCTCGTTGATACCACGATAATATAGTTGTAAATATTCTAAATATTTTTCAATACGAATTCATTTTTCCCCATTGTCTTGTAATTCTAAATAAGAGTCTAATAAAAACACCTCGGAATGAGGAATATATTCGGTTATATTGCGGTCTAAACCGACATAATCCACCACTTCTTTCATTAGTGGTTCCTCTGCTTTGTTTTTTACTATTTCCGTGACCCCAGTTTCGGAGTTTATTTGGGTTCGGTAATCAGGGCAAGTCTCAATTTTTTCAAAAACTAAATAACCTGCTCGGTCAACTCGGATATTGCCTTGATAAGCGGAATTCTCATTGGTCGCGGAAGTAATTTTTACCATGGGTTCTCAGGCGGCGGCGTTAAATATTAATCAATCGGAGTTAACATTTTTTTCGGTTAGTCATCGTTTCTGATGGTCGTCTAAATTAACAAGCGAATTAGCAACAGAAAGGTCATTGGCTAAGTAATCTTCGGTTAATTGTCGGATTCGTTTTTCTTGGTATTCTTCAATAACAGGAGTTTCTGACTTATTTAAACGAATTGATTGAGCGGGTTGGAAAATTAGTTCTTGACCGAACAAATTAACTCCCTTAACCGCTGGCTGGTAAATAAATCGGTCGGAAACCTCCTCTTCGGTGGGGTCAGCAGCAAAGTAGGGGTTAAAAGAAACGGTAATTTGGGTGGAACCGATTTGGGGTCGGCAATAAACTAACCGCCAAAATTTGGAGCAAAATTGGTTCATTTCTGCCTTTCGTGCGGCCATTTGCTCTGGTGTGAATTCAGTAAAGTAAGAGAAAAATTTGGCGGCGGCCTGTTCGGTTCGTTCAGTAACTAACGGGCTATCCGAAGCGTAACCATGTTTTGCCAAAGTCGCATAAACGGCGGACTTGGTTCGTTCCAAAGCGAGACGATAAACATCAATTTGGTATTGACCGAGTGCTAAGTAAGGCGAAGGGGGGTTGTGGCTTATTTCCTTAGTTAACTGCTCCAAAAAGTTTAATAATTCATTTTCCCAGGTCGGAACGGCTCGGCGGGGAGGAACTAAGAAAAATTCTTCCAACATTTCTCTTTGTAAAACTTTTTCAAATCCGCGGCCTTTGCTTCCGTAATTTAGGGAGTGTTTAGCAAAGAGTGCTCGAACTTGTGCGGGTTGGGGGGTAAGACCAGTAATTTTCAAACATTGCGGGGACGATTCTCAAGGTTCAGAACTGGCAAAAGCATTAATGCCTTTGTTTTTAAGGTCAAAATTATCTGTTTTTTCCGCCGGAGAAAAATAAATTCGTCCTAATAATTCCTTATATTGCTCGGTTAGTTCTTTCCCTTCAAAACCACTTTGGTCAAAACTCGCCCGATTGATTTCTTTTTGCAGAGCCAGTAAATCTAGGGAACCCAGACCCTTAGTGAGACCAGTATTACGACTATCATTGAGAATTTTTCCTTCTGATTGAACGGCTTTTTCCAAGTAGCTACGAAAGTTTCCAACAAAATTATTTATTTCGGTTTCAAAATGATTAATTTCAAAATTAGTCATTCTTTCTTTTAATTTTGTCTCTTGCTCGTTAAAAAAATTTGCTAATGGCTCTGAATATTTCTGCTTAAATTCCGTTTCTGCTCGCACTGACATTCAGGCTTCGCCCACTTGGTTTTCTTGGATTTTTGGGAAATTTTCATCGTTGTTAATTAGTAGAGCATGACCGCTCGCTTGTAATATTGATTTAATTTGGTCTTGGTGTTGTCGGAATTTTTGGTCTACTACTCACCGAGTTATCGTAATATTATTATTGGCTTTAATTGTTTTTTTTATACTTGGCCTACTACCAATTTCATTTGCTAAGATAGTTTCAATGTCAGCAGAAGGGTTGGCAGAACTAAGAATGCTATTAATTATTTCTAATCTTCTGGCACCATTTATTGTCGTTCCCGCAAATTCTCCATCAAGGGTTTCCAAAGTAGTTAGCGTGTAAAGGAGATGATAAGCGGTCGGTCAATCTCACTTTCCTTTCTCATTCCAATTAGCCGACCATTCTCCGCTTGCGGTTAGTCATTCTTCTTTTTCTTCTTCTTTTTCTGTGAAACTTAAATTAATTACACCAAATTTTTTTCAACTTTGCGTTCGGGGTATTACGGATTTTATTTCATGGCTAGAAAATAGAGACAGGATTTTATATTTGTCGGTATTGTTGTTAAAATTGATTTTCTCTTTTCCGTTCATATTATTATTTTTCTCAACTTTTTCTCTATCTTTTTCCTCATCATCAATGATAATTGTTTGGGGTTGTTTACCTTTTTCTTTGGTCTTATCTGCCAGGATTTTGGCAACAGCCGAACTTTCGGCGATAACGGGTTCGTAATGATTACCATTGCTATAAGCCAGCACGAAAGGCTCCGCCGAAATTCAATTATTCTTATCCGTATTATTCGGTTCAAAATAATCATTGCTGCCATCGCCAGTGTTAATTATTAATATATATCTTTAATTTTATAACACTAAACTTTCCCATATCTGCAAAAAAAAAAAAAAAAAAAGCCAGTAAATTACGGGATTGAGGAGGATTTTTTGGGGAAAATCGAGGGGGTTTTAATTTTCCTCTTATCAAAAAAGTTTAGCAATAGAAGTTTTTTTGATAATACAATAAATTTTATAGTGATTGTGAAAAAAAAATTCCTAATAATTGACGGTAATAACTTACTTTATTCCTCTTATCACGTGGCTCAAAAAATGTCGCGACAAATATCTAAGGGGGGAATTTTTTTCTTTTTGCGGGTGTTGATTAGTGTGTTAAAAAAAAGCGATTATCAGAAACTATTAATTACTTTTGACGGAGGGGGAACTAATTTCCGCGAAACTCTACTTCCGCAATATAAAGCCCACCGAGTAAGTATGCCAGCCGAACTGTGAGAACAAATGGAAGTACTTAAAAAACTACTAAGTAGAACTAATGTTAATTATATTCAGTTAATTGACCGAGAAGCAGATGACCTAATTGCTTCTTTTATTCAACAAAGCACCAAAGAACGACCAGAAATAAATTTTGCTATTTTTACCCGTGATAAAGATTTATTACAATTGCTTAGTGAAAATACTGATATTTTAAAGTATATTAATAACAAAATTACCCTTTATACTTCTCATCATTTTTCCCAAGAATATAATTTCCTACCAAAAAATTATGTTGATTATTTAAGTTTATTAGGCGATAAGGCTGATAACGTTGCCGGAGTAAAAGGAATCGGTCCGGTCAGTGCCAAAAATTTAATTCAACAATTTCAGACAGTAGAAAATATTTACCAAAAATTAGAAAATTTACCAGAAAACATCAAAAAATTATTAGAAAATAAGCAGGAATTAGTTTTTCGTAATAAAAAAATTATTAAGTTAGAAGAAAATATTTCCTTGCCAAGCGAACTATATAAAAATTGTGATTTTGGCTGGGAAAAATGGAAAAATAATGAGGAATTACAAAAATTTTGTTTAGATAATAAGTTTAATAGTATACTTAAATTACTTATCGATTAGGCTTCTCCTTTTTGCTTCTTTTCTAAACAAAAACGGCAGATTTTACCTTCGCGAATGGTTTCGCCACCGAGCAACTCGCTTCTATATTTGATATAGCAAATTCCACAACGAAATTCTCTCTCTCTCTCTCTCTCTCTCTCTCTCTCTCTTGCTTATTGTCCGCGGGAAGGCAAGCAACTACAATTCACCCGATAAGACCTAAAAAAAACACTAGTAAAAATCCTAATAAACCTTTCTTTTTGGTCGCGTAAACAAGCATCCAAATTCATAAACCAATAAGTATTAATATAAATATTACAAGACCAGCACCAAAGCCGAGCCAAAGACTATTATTTTCAGTTTCCATATATTTATTTTATATTATAATTTTATTTTTGGTACCCAAAGTCGGACTCGAACCGACACTTGGTGGGTCTTGAATCCACTGCGTCTACCAATTGCGCGATTTGGGCATTATTTTTTGGTAGCGGGGGAAGGATTTGAACCTCCGATCTCCGGATTATGAGCCCGACGAGTTAGACCAAACTACTCTACCCCGCGATTATTAATTATAATTTTAGCAGTTTTTTCTTGCTTTTGATTAACTTATTTATGATTAGTCCAATTATAATTATTCTATCAACCATTACCAATAACGATTGCTATTTTTCCCCAGAATTGGTTGAAGTATAGATTGTCTTCTGCTTTTTTAATATTAAAACTTTTTCTAAAATTTACGTTTATTTGCTAATTGCTTGAAAATTCTCTCACCTGTAAAATCTTTTGCTGAAAAAGAAAAAAATAAGTCTACTAACCTCGCCCCTGACTTTTGTCTAGTTAATTCCAGTTTAATATACTTTTTCTTTTGTCAAAATTGGGGATTTTTTTCCGGTCATTCAATAATATTTAAATTATCCAAAGTTAATTCTTGAAAAGCATCTAAATTATCGCTAGTATTTAAACGAAAAAAGTCAAAATGGTTAAGGTAGTAATCATTTTTTATTTGATAACGCTGACAAATGGTAAAAGTAGGTGAAGTTATCTGCTCGGTAATTCTTAAATTTTTTGCGATTAGTTGAGTTAAAGTGGTCTTCCCTACTCCTAATTCGCCTTGTAAAATTAAATAAACATTGGGTTTGAGAAAAGGCATTAATAATCGGGCTAAATTTTCTAACTGATTTAAATTTCTTATTTTTCCTTGTCCTAACATATTCATTAAAAAATTGTAATAAAAGAATAGCAAAGTTAAAAAAAAGCCTTGTTAGCTCAATGGTAGAGCAATTGACTCTTAATCAAGAGGTTGGAGGTTCGAATCCTCTACAAGGCACCAAAGAACGAAATATCCTATTAAGAAAATTTATTCTAAGACTGGTTTTTTTACTTTTTATTTCTTCTTTTTGCGAACCCTCTTTTCTAACTCAATAATTTAATTCAGTCTAAAATCAGACCAAGTAAAAGAGAAATTAAGGGATAACTATACTAATATTTAAATATATAAAAATATAAGTTATATGGTAAGTAGGAAAAAAATAACTAAATTGAAACCGAAACTATTAATTAGACATGGAGAGAGAGAGAGAAACCAGCAATAAAAATAGAAATCCTGCCCTTTTCTTGTTCGCAAAATGGTTGACAGGACACTCCGACTCCAAAAGACAATAAAGACTTTGTTTGGGAAGAAAATTTACAAAAACAAATTGCTTCCCAAGAAAAAGAAATCCAAATTCTCACTGAAAAAATTGCTAAATGGCGAAAACTAGTTGAAAATCTCCGAGAAGAAAATGATAAATTAAGGAACGAGCAAAAAACTAATGAGGAGTTTCACGACCAAGTTCAACAAAAATTATTAGAACTAACTGGTGAAATAGGTTGGTATCGCCAAGAAAAAACCTCCTTAAAGAATAAATTAAAAACCTATTATGATAATGAGCAAGAAATTTGAGAAGTAATTAACCTCTTAGAAACTAAATTAGAATACCAAGAAAAAAAGCATACTGATTGGCAAAGCCATCTCCAAAATAAGTTAGAATATGCTTGCCAAGAAATTTTAAAAGATGAAAAGGAACTTACTAAACTTAATAAAAAAAATAATCAACTCCAAAGACGCTTACAACAGAGCAAACAAAAACTAACTAGTCAACTCCGCGTTCTGACTAAAACTAGTGAGAAATTAACTAACTCTCGGATTTTAGTTAACAGCTTTAACCACGATAACCAACTTTACCAAGATGAAGTAAAATCTTTGGAAAGTTCTTTGTTAGATAAAGAACAACAAATTAGTCAGCAACAGCAAATTATAACTGATAAAACTAATGAAATTAACCAACTTCAAGGGGAAAATAATAGTTTAAAGCAAGTTAAACAAGATTTAAAAAGTGAAATTAATAACTTAAAAGTCCAACATAAGAAAGAAGTTGGAGAAAAAGAGAAAAAAATAACTGATTTAGAGCGAATAATCCAAGAATTAAGAAACAAACCGCCACTTCAACCAGTTAATAGTTCTGATAAGTCCGAAAATAAATCCGAACCAAATAATTTCTTAATCGAAAAAGAGAGTTTATTAGCCCAAATTCAGCAACAAAAAGAGACCATTCGGCAATTACACAACCAATTAAAAAATAATCAGCAGTCCCGAGTAATAGTTAAAGAAGTGCCAGTCACAGATTTAATCACTATTAACGAATTGCAGGAAAAACTAAAAATTAAAGAAACCAGCCTTGATAAAACTCGTTATTTGTGTTTTTTAAATTGAATAGTTAGTATTTTATTATTAGTTTATTTAGTAAAAATCATTACCAAAAATAGTCGAAAAAAGATTAGGAAAAGTTAAATAATTATTAAAATAACTATTATATGGTTCGCATTGCCAATAAAGAAATTCCTAGTAGTAAAAATATTTTCATTGCCCTTACCTATATCTACGGCATTGGTCGGTCATTAGCGGAAAAAATAACCGAAGAGACAGAAATTAATAAATATAAAAAAACAAAGGATTTAACGGAGGAAGAAATTAAATTACTTAACGAGAAGATTAAAAATTTTTCGATTGAAGGAAAATTAAAGGAAGAAACTCAAAAAAAAATTAACGAGCAAATTCGCCTTGGTACCTATCAAGGATTAAGACGTTCGCGAAAACCCAATCCTTTGCCAATACATGGTCAGAGGACACGACATAATGCTCGAACCGCCAAAGGTCATAAGCGAGTAACAGTGGCCAACAAGAAAAAAGCCCCAACTGCTAAATAGTAGCACAATATTAAAATAAAATATAAAATAATGGCAGAAGAAATAAAAAAAGTTAATACTTTATTACTAATAAATAATGGCAGTAACAAATAAAAATCCAAAAAAAGGAGACAAAAGCAAAGTTAAAAAAATTAAAAAAGTCGCTGAAGGGCGAGGAATTATCCACGGCAAGTTCAGTTTCAACAATACTATTTTGCGACTAACCAAAGAAAATGGTGATGCACTAGGAAAAACAATTAGCGCTGGAAGCATCGGCTTTAAAAACACTAAAAAAGGCACTCCGTATGCTGCCCAAAAAGTCGCTGAAGAAGTTATTAAAAGAGCAGCCGAGTATGGCATTAGTAATGTTGAAACACAAGTGAAAGGAATTGGTGCAGGACGGGATGCGGTAATGAAAAGAATATTGGAGGAAAAATCCTTAAATAACGAGGCATGAGTCGATAAAACTCCAGAAAAGCATGGTGGCTGTCGTCCCCGAAAAAGACCCCGAAAATAATAATATATATGTCATTGCTTAACAATCTAGAAATTGAAGAAATAATTACCAAAAATAAACCTAATAGTTCTTCCTTTATTTTCCGACACTTGCCTCCTACTATGGGAATAACCTTAGGCAATTCTTTACGACGAATTCTTTTAGGTCATATTAGTGGAATAGCACCGCTCGGAGTAGAGATTTCTGACAAAAATGGTCCAGTGAAAAGTAAAGACACCATTTTGGCGGGAGTAGATAAAGTAACTCGCTACTTAATTATGAGTTTGAAAGAAATTATCTTAGAAGAAAAAAACAAAAAAGAAGGAATTTTTTGTTTGGAGTTAAATATTGAAAACCAGAAAAAAGAAGAAAGAATAATTGTGGCTGGTGATTTTCAGCCTGACCCAAGTGTCGAAATTAAAAATCCTGAATTTCCTTTGGCGACTTTGGCTCCGCTGGCGAGTTTGAAAATAAAATTATACTGTCAAAAAAATTGGGGCTATCATGAGGAAGAAACACAAAAGAAAGATTATTTTGCGGAAAAAGAAAATGTTATTGTTTTGGCTACTGATTATTCCCCGATTAAGGGAGGACAAGTCAATTTTCAAGTAGAGCAAGAGGTAATTGGTCTAGACAAACAGGAAGAAAAACTAACCATTACTATCAATACCAACGGGGCGATTAAACCCAAAAAAGCTCTCCAAGAGGCTTTGGAAATTTCCCAAAATTCCTTTGAGCTAATTAACAAAACTCTAACCAACGGCAGAAAAAAAGGAAAGATGGCCAAAGAGTTAGCCACGAAATAAAAATATGTCTTATATTAATAAACTAGGCAAAACTACGGCCTGACGCAATCATGTTCTTAATAATTTAGTAGCTGATGCTATTTTATACGAAAAATTGGAAACTAATTTGCCAATGGCTAAGCATCTCACTAAGTTATTGGCTAAACTTATCACCTGAGCCAAGCAAGATAATTTGCATTCTCGCCGAATGGCTTTGCGTTATTTAGTTAATAAAAAGGATTCCGGAGTAGTGAATAAATTATTTACTGATTTAAAAAACCGTTATCAAGAAAGAAAAGGCGGTTATAGTCGGATTACTAAATTAAATTATCGGGCTGGTGATAATAATTTGCGGGTAATTTTTGCCTTGGTTTAATTTGTAAAATTATGAATCAAATCTCTTCTCTTTATCAACTAATCAAACAAAAATCTCAAAAAAAAGGTCGTCCGTTAAAAATCG